ATATTAAATAAAAATCGCTTAAAAAGACAAATATTTTATTTTAGAAAAAGTATTTTAAAGAAAAAATTGCAATACATTTTTTTATAAGTATGTAACTTCCACATACTATTTAATGTAAAGTTGTAATCGATTAGTGTTAGCAGATTAGTTTAAAATTATTATTACACTTTATTAATGTAAAATGTAACGGTTCTACATTAATTGAAAAAATGAGCATGAAAATAAAATTTAACGGTTCTACATTGATTGAAAAATGAGTGGGAAAATGAATAGATGTTTTATTAATTAGGTTTTATTAAATGCTATATGACAACAATTATATATATAGATATAATCTCAAAATATAAAAAAGTTAAAGAGCCATTGTTTACTCATAAATTTTGGACAATCGTGTCGGAGATTCTAGATTGAAAGATACCATTAAATTCTTTCTATAGATTCTATTGAAGATTGAAAGATACCATTAAATTCTCCCGTCCGATTATCCAGCTTTATTATTACATTCGTGAATATAAAAAATTAAATAATTAAAATAAACAATTATTATTATATATTATTACAAGTCTTTTTGTAGACATCATTTTTTTATATTGTAGGAACACCATCCTCCTTGCAAACTAATATTTTTAATCTATTTCTATCATTAACACGGAAAAACAGATATGTACAACTGGTCGTGACTGAACACGAGTTTCTTAGAAAGCATGCTAACATGTGATAAAGACCGACCCTCACTCTTGTAAATGAAATCACGAATCTTGTGCACACCATGACCAGCAATTAGCTTGTAACATTCTTCTAATTAGCTAATTGGTTGTTAATTGAAATATTAGTACATATTTAAATATACACATGTTTGTTAAATATAAAAATAGATATTATAAATATAATTATAATATAAATTTAAAAATTAAAATTTAACATCGTGTTGAAATATAAATGTATTTATTAGACGTTAAAATATGTATTTTAAATATATTTATATTATAATTAAAAAAATAATATATTATAGATTGATTTAACGGAAATACCTCCCCATGGATTTGTTAAGAGATGAACAATGAGCAAATGTGAATGACGATCATTGCAATATGCATTCTCAAGTTTCAAAAGTCGATCAATTAAATCACCCCATAGTGTTGAATCAATCTTGTTCCCCCTACACGCTCATTTAATTTAGAAAAAATATATAATAAATAAAATAGAAATTGTTATTTTTTGCGTTTGAACGCCATCAACCTCTTTAATTTGCATCGATCCAATTTCAACAATCAGATCAACTACATCTACAATTAAACTGTAAATTAATTATTCTTCAAAGCATTCTCAATTATCCATACGAAAAAAATACGACAGAATTAAATACATAGATTAATATGTTACCAAAGAGCACTGTTTGATCTTGTCGAATACCATAATGGAGAGT